CACAACAATGTCCTCCCCCAGCACCCTGGCTGGGCACCTCCAGGTCTCCTCCTGGCTGTCCTTCTCCTCCCAGTCAGCATCACCTGGGCAGTAAGCGCAGTTCACGGTAAGGAGCCCGTGCCACCCCTCTCTGAACATCTCTCTTCCATCCTCCCTCCTTTCAGGACAGCCTGTGCCCCCCTGTCAGTAGTGTACAACATACCCAGACCCTGATCGGCTCCAGATAAGCTTGCAGGGCAACTGCTGTAGCATTTGGCTCTTCGTTTTTAATCTTCCCACCCTGAGAGTCACTTTGCAAATCATGCTGAGGCTCTGGGGAAGGTCGGGGACTCCAGGCAGCCTGGCAGTCCCATGCACAGACCAGTGGCTTCTGCGAGAGGGGGAATTTGGCAGCTTCTTCAGAAGACAGAAAGAGCCTTTCTAGGGGCTGCTGCAGGCAGTACTGAGGTCTGATTTTCAGCCTTATTTGAAGGTGACTGGAACAAAGAAGTATTGCAGATGCTTAAAATGCCACAAAAAATCACCAGGTGCAAAGAAAGCACCAGAAAAAGACAGTGTGAAAGAAGAACAGGATACGAGAAGTTATTTCACCCAGATGACCCCGAAGAGGGAAAGTCCCGATATAACACTAAGGAAAATATCTCAAGAGTCACCATCTTGCTTAACACACAAACGAGATTCAAAATAAACCTCAAACCTCTGTGCCCCATATAATTGGCAGAATGTGCTTTCAACACCCTTCTAGATCTCTTATCTCTGTACTTACTCAGGGTAGCTTGGACAGCTAAATCAGCCCTGGCGAGTTCCCCTTTAGTTTCTCAGTGGTTCAGCACCTGGATTATTTACGGTGAAATGCGTATACTGCTCTGTACACTTCCAGCTGTTTGCAAACAGAGGGAGCAGTCAGACAGCCCTTGCTTGGTCCTCAGTTTAATGCTGGTAGATACTTGGTGCAACTGTTATCACAGACAGGCCACAAAGACCTCTGCTAGCAAAGGCTTGCACAGAGAAAGAGTTAAGACCCTGAAAGCCGATTAGTGGCAATCTGGCTTGGTTTGGGTGTCCAGCCTTCACAGAGGCCATCCTACAAGAACGCGGAGGGAAGTGCCCCACTTTGCAAGGGTGACACTGATCTCCTCCAGCCCCAAAATACCTCCAGCCCACGAGGGATAACCGACCACAGCTTAGCCCAGCAGCCCACACTGTGGAGATGAGACGAGCTGTCAGACCACAAGACTTTGCTTTTCATTGAGCTGGCAACAGCCAAAAGGCCTGAAGAGACGCAAAGCCCTTCCTCCCACACCGGTAAGGTGCAAACACAGCCCTCCTTTGGCTCCAGCCGCTCACTGATGCAAGCTGAAATCCTGTGCTGCAAGATTCACACCAGTTTCAGCCCTGTCAGAGAAGAGCCACAGTGAAAATGGATCAGCAGCCAGCATGGGTGACCCATCCATACAAGCTGGAGTGTTTTAGGGGTGACAGCTCAAAGAACCAAGGAAAGCTAGACCTCAGCTAGCACCGCAACAATTGCCAGTCCTTCCTTCCAAGTAACTAGCTCCCTCCAGAGAGCCAGAGCCCACCCTGAGCACCCAGCCAGGAGAGGGTCACTGAAGAAACATGAAGGGAAAGGACATGGCAAAACCCTCACAAGGCGAGGCTTGGCTGGATTTTAAATCACTTACAGTCCTGCTTGTGCTTCCAGTCCTCCAACATCGCAACAGCGAAGCCCCACAGCACCTCAACATATGCAAAATAAACCTCTTCCACGATTATCTGGAGCATTTCTGCTCTCCATCAGCACTGAGCCTGACAAATAGCCCACACACCACTTAAATTGCTAGTGTCACCCCATTGATTTCAGATAGAGGGGGACCAATATGGTTCAATGTATCAAAAGGAAAGTAAATTACTGATTTGGTTTTCTAAACATCTTCACAATAGATTTAAAAAATCCTTGATCAAATCTATGTCTCAGGGCTTGGCTTTTTGCTGCTTGTTCACCTTAAAAATGTCCAACATGGACTTCCTGATTTTGTCAGACAATTCACGAGGTCTCAGCCACACGCAGCGAGTCCTGTGGTCTTTCCTCAAAGGGGAAGAGCTTTGAACACAAAGCAGTCTTCAACTCTACATTTACTGCATATTTTGAATTAAATAAGGGTGTTCACAAGTCCCCTTTTCATTCACTCAGTTCCCCTCAAAGTTGTTTTTAAGTCTAACCTGAATCACCACCAATCACTATTAATTTTCTCAAACCTGCAGAACCTCAACTTGACTGCTTTCTCCAGTGGTTCAGAGAGACTAGTAGACAGGGACTGTATTTCAAGCGGGCAAAAAGAACAGGAAAGCAGAGGAGAAGCTTTTTCATCCACTGTACTGGACACAAAGGCACAAACCTCTCTCTCCTTCTAGGGAGAAGACCCTTGTAAAGTCCTCTGGGACAGAGAGGCTCCTAGATAATGAAGACCTGAGCACAGCAGGTCTCTCGGACACACGCACAGCATTTCAAGGCGAATAACGGTCTGTACCTGACTCCATTAGATGCAGACAGTCCTGTGCTGGGGCCTCCAGCTTGAGGCAAAGCCCAGGTGCTCTGTGCATTGAGTCTCGGTGTTGACCTTGCTCCAGACAAACTCGGTTTGTTATAGGGCACAAAGCCGACGCTGGAAGAACTTACTGATGCTGTCCTACCAGAGACCTGATGAGTAGCAGAAGAGTTGGGAAAGTTTATCATGGAGTGGCGATAACGTGTGGTGATGGGACCAGTCCCGCTGTTCAGCCAGCACTGCTGGCAAGAACAACCCACTCCGGCGTGAAGGGGTGCCGGGGAGGCCGTCACCGGGTACGGGGCATCCAAGCGCCTCTGAATGCTGCGGCGAAACCTCGTGGTCTTGTTGGTCTGGACTTGAGCCACAAAGTCAACTTCGTAGTTATAGCCCAGGGGTCCGAGATCTACTCGCTGATGGTTCGTGGCACGGGCTTGCTCCAGGAACACGCAGACGTTCATCTCGTAGGGGGACCACCCACCTTCGTCGTTCTGCCACTCCCAGATGATGCCCTGCCCGGCAGCGGAGTCCCCAGGGAAGAGGTGCCTGCGGACGGCCCGCATCGTCCCTGTGTGGGGAGAGGGGGGTGGGAAATAAATAAAATAATTTTGTGAGCAGAGAATTAAGGGGAAACATTATTTTTGCACAGATCTGCAGTGTCTACATCAGGATGGGCTTCCTCACCTCTCCCTGCACAGGGGCACTAACAGACTTTCTCTTCCCGACAGGGCTGGGTTTGCTCATGAAGCTTAGAGAAACGCAATACCCCCGAGGTCCCTGTCCCTCTGCCAAATCTGATTATGGGCTGGCAACAGGTTCAAAAGCTGCTGGGAGGAAGGGTGGGAAAGGAGGGAAGAAGAGAGGATGCAGAAACAGACACACCCGAGCACAAAGGCACAGGGATCACATATGCCTCCCTGACGTTAAAAGAAAAAAAAAAGCTAAAAAAAAAAAATCAGACTGAGGCACAGATCTAGTTAAAATAAACCAACTCCCACAGCCTTAACAACCGAGTAGCTATAGAGACACGACACCATTGGGAAGTGCTTTGCATGAGCACTCAAGGGCCTAAACACGCTCTTCACTACACAAGGGTCTGGGCAATTTTTCTCTTGGGGGAGTGGGTGAAGTCCCTCGAGGACAAGGACTTTGGAGAGGGGACAGACAGGGGCAGCTTCTGCAGGCTCCTGAGTGCTGGGAGATGTAGCCAGACTGGAGAAAAGAAAACGACAAAGTAAATTGGAAACTGGAGAGAGCAGCTGTTCAGAAAAAGGAAGAGAAATGAAAGCAGACACGCTACTCTTGCAAGGCCGCTCGACAGCGACTGCAGGAGCCCGAAACCCCCTGGAAGCCTGGCTTTCCAGGGTGACTTCACTCCTGGTTACTTTATTCCTTTCTTTAAAAAAAGAAAAAAGCCTACTGAGAGAGAGGTAAGCCACCCAACAGGACAGAAGCTCTGCAACCTCTGCAAAAACAGGTTCCCGCAGCAGGGTCAAAACTGCTGCCACTGGGAAAATCCTCAGCAGCGCTCCGCACTGAGAAAGAGGAGCGGGAAATGCCGCGGGGCAAGCAAGTCTGGGGATGCAGGCAGGCAGGGGTGAACAGGGGTGCAGCCAGTCGTTATGACACACGAGTTCAGAGAACAGCACCAAGAGGAAAAAAAATAAAGCCTCTAAAAAGGTTATGAGAGTTATGACACTATGCTTTAGGACCCCACGTGAAAACAGCCACGTTTACAAGTATCCACACCTAAAGCCTGTGGAGAACTGCCCCAAGATATCGCTGGTGGCTCCGTGGGGGGCAGGCAATCCAAGTAAGCTTTACACCCAACAAGCACACCCCAAGGAAGAGGGAAGACAACCCACGTGGGACGCCATGCTGCCAAAACCCAATTGCTACCTGTGTTCAGGTAGCCAGAATGCTGGCTCCAGTATCTCTGCCTCACACTGCTGTTATTTCTACCTCATAGGACTGGGATATTGTGGAAACTACTAGGACTTGCCTCAAACCATAGAGGCATTAACAGCCTCCTTGCTGTTAAAAATGCTGCTCGATAGCATGAAAGTCACATCTCTGCTCCTACTGCACTCCCAGGCTTCTTTTAAAATGGTGCTGGTGGTTTCTGCACAGCGCTTTGGTGGTCAGACCATAACGAGATCCTGTGCTGGGGTGCAGATATGTCCCACACGTCATTGCAGAAACTAAGTCAGGAAATACAGCCCTGAGGTCCAGAGCTGACATAAAGGCTGAGGCTCTCTAAGGCAGAACGTACCAGACCAAGGAATGGCAGGACTTGTGTTTCTGCTGGGGAGCTGAAAGCACCCAGGACTGGAATGGCTTGCTTCAGCCCATGCAGAGGATGAGCAGCCAGGAAAGGTCCAGCACTTACTCCCAACCTGCTGCTTCAGCGGCCAGAGCAGCACCAAGTGTCCTGCTTATTGCAGAGCGGGACTCTCCAGTGACACCATCCAACAGACAATATCTGATCAGCACACCTAAAAAGCTACTAGCAGCCCGTGAAACACAGCAACCTCCCCTGTAAGAACAGGGTTGAACCCCAGAAGCTCAATGACGAAGCCCAGGGATTCCTGTGGGACCAGACCTCCCTCTGGCAGAAGGTATCAGCAGAACCAAGGCGACCTTCCCCAGCCAGGAATCGATGTCTTGTATGGGAAAGCAGATGAAACAGCCAAAAAGTAAACTCTAGTGATGACTGCTCCTATCCAGCAAGCAAGTTCTGCCAAGTTTTAGAAACACAAACCTATGGCCTCAACAGGTACGCAACATCGGGGATGACCCCCTGAGCAGGAGGACTGGGGATGAGACTGGACTGGAAGTGAGATGGTGAGAAATGCACCACGTTTAGAGATGAGTGCAGGGAACCTGCTCCCTGGAGAAAGAGGACTACCACGTGTAAAGCAAGGCATCAGAAAGCCCAGCGGGACACATCTCAGAAGAAGTTAGCAAGCCTGTCCCTGCTCCACTGGCAGGTCAGAAGCTAAAAGCAGCACAGAGAGGACTTGGAGTTGGCAAGCAATCCGTGTTTTTAACACCCTCAAACAGCAGCAGGGAGAAGAGCTTTTAGGAGTCAATAACAAGACCAAAGCCATGCACACTTGGAAAAAGTCCCCCTTCCCCCAGGCTGGCAAGGAAGCTGGCATTCCTCTCCAGGGTGGGCAAACAGCTGTGGCGAGAGGACAGCTCCTGCTGCTCCCTTGCATTCACTCCCAGCTAATCTGCCTTGACCAGCAGCTGAAGCCCACGGCTAATCCTGCCCACAAGATCCCCCTGCACAGCTGTCATTCCCCGTTGGTGGGGATGTTGGTCCCATTAACACTGGCTTCCTGTTATTCTCCCTGGCTTCCTTTGAAGAGCCTATTTGTCTGTCTAATAGCTAATGAGCAGAATACAACAGCCTATTTTTTGCTCTGTTTAAAGATTTTTCATGGGGATGTTTCCTGCAGAGATTCTTTTCTCCAGCACATGACAAAGGTCAGCTGGCTGCTCGTTCAGAAAGGTTCAGGTTTAAGGTAGAGCCCCACAGAGAGAAAAAGCTTTGCTTAGAACTGGGCCATTGAAAGGGGATAAGAGCATTTCCAATAGTCACGTTGGAGAGCACGCAGGTACTTGTGGAGAGAAGCTCACAGGCCTGGCCACTCTGATCAGCATCCCTTCAAATCGGTGGGAAACACTGCAGGAGAGCTGTGAAGTGGAATCAGCCTTTTTCGTGTTAACGGCTCAACCACAGATCTTATCCAAGGAAAGATGAGATCACGCCAGCCAACATCATTTCCAAAATTGTATTGGACTGTCCCCCAGAGATGACCAACTCCAAAGCATCCTGCAATGGACAATATTTGCTAGGTGTTTTGAGATATTTCACAAGGGTCTAAAGAGATATAAGACCTCTAAGGAGAGACAGCTCCACTCGTGGAGAAGAATGCCCCATTCACACTGGGACACATCTTTCACCCTCCCACAGGCACACTGCTCACCCTCAAACCGGGCTGTTTCCTGACAAGGGACAGCCCAGGACTGCTATACACGTGCTGGAGCACTGGCTGAAAGGCTCCTTCACAAGTTTGGCATGAAGAAAACAAGAAACAAACAGCTGCTGGCGCCAGCTCTGGTGGTCCATGCTGTATTGTTCGAAGTCACAGCCTTAGCAGGGCTTCCAGGTGCTCAAACAGGCCATGCTGAGCAGACCAGCCAAGGCACCCAGCTAAGAAAGCGCCTCACCAAGGACGCTGCTAGAAAAACTAATCCTGAGGTCACCAAGTCAGAATAAAAACACGGATGCAGCAGTGATGACCACTCACATTTGTTCCAACCACTTCCCTTTCCTGTAGGAATTGCCCAATCGTGCAGTTGATTCAAGATATTGCTCACTTATTGCTTCAATTGGCAAGAAACCAGCGCAGTGCCCATCTCTAAAGCTTGAGGTCATCCTTGACTGTGTTGTGGGGTGATGGGAGAGATGTTGACAAAGGGGAAACTGATGCATGGAGAATTTTCCAAAGCTGCCATTCATTCTGCGTGTGTAATTTGGGATCTCCCTGGATTTTCCAGAGATGAAGAGCATGCATTCCACCCCTGCCCCCTTTCTAAGCTACAGCTGCTCAGCACATCTGGAGCAAAAGAGGGGAGAAGTCATCTCAGCAAGTTCTGTGCTGCAGCTTCAGTTACCCCAAGAGAGACGAGATGAGAATGAAAATTAGGTCTCAATCCTGTGATGAAGCCCAGCTCACCCTTCCTCCCTGGGAGGAAGCAAGCCAGCCTTGTATAGCACAAGTGCGGGGAATATTCTGCTGCAGCATTACGGCGTTCTGCGGGGGCTGCAGGCTTTCGCAAAGCAGCTTGTGCAGGGCAGCATGCCAAGGTAAAGCAGCTGGCACTCCAGTTGCAGAGGGAACAAGGGATTTAAACGGGAGGGTTCGAATCGTAAAAAGGCCTTTTTATGCAAGTGGTCTTGAATGGATGTGGGTGGGGACAGGAAGAAAGTTTCCAGCCCTGAGGGCTCTGGTTCACAAGCTAAAAGCTCCAGAGGTCCAGTGAGGAGGGTCCTTAAGAGATCATCGCCGCCCGCCTGCACCCAGCCCTGCAGATTCACGCCGGCCACCGCTGATTTTCTCACGTGCTAACGTGCTGGGCAGCAGACATGCCACCCCTCAGAGAACTGCCCAGCAGCACCAGCAGATAGTAGAGCTTTGTAGGGCTCTCCTACACAGAACAAGACCCCACTTATCTCCAAGCACACAATCAGCCTCATCAAAACCCCAGCACAGGCAGGGAAGCTTCCTTACCTGTATCCTGCCGGAACTGCGTCAAGCTTGGAATGTCGATGACATAGGGGGCCAAGACAGGATCCGCATGTCCCAAAGCGATGCTGCTGACAACTCCTGACCCTGAACGCCGGCCCTTCTGCTGTGAGGCTTGAAAAACCTGTTCAATGTAGCTGCAGACGTTCCCTCGGTACGGCCTCCATCTGCCAAATTCATCCTGCCATTCCCACACCGCTACTGCTGTGGAGTTGCGGCTGTGCCCTGGGGCAGAACCGGGAAGTCCGGATGGCCCGGCTGAACTGCCTCCTGCTCCCTGAGCTGCTGCCATGTTCCTCCCTGAGCTCTGAGCACACCACGATTGGAAGTGGCAGCCGTGCTGGCTGGTCTTACATCATTTTCTTCTGGAGGACCTGCAGCAAGAAATAAAGAGAGCACCCAGAGCTGAGAATGATGCCCCAAACCCAGCCCTCCCTGCATCCACGCCACATAAGCCATTTAAGAGAAGGAAACAAGGTCAGCCTTTCACAGAAGATGTTCGCTATGCATTTAGGAGACTACAGAGAAGGGCATTGGCCTCAAAACCCTCTGGTTGAAGGCAAATGAGGTACCACCACCCACTCCCTGCCAATGCTAGCAACTTTTCTTGCTAACTTAGATCAAAAACTCTTTGGGAAGAGTCTGCTTCCTATGGTTTGTGTCACCAACCACCACCCAGTTTGCTGCAGATCTGTACAAAACCAGCGCAGAGCCACTGCTGATCCGCGTTAGGCGGGTCTGTAAGCCCTGATCCAAGTTCAGACGGTCACTAGCCAGAAGCGTGCCCAGGCAAGTGGCCACTCTGCACCCTTCCCCACCCATGATCAGCACCGGTCCTGGCACCATTACGCTCTGACCACCCCAATGTGAGCTGCCAGCTTCTGAGCAGGAGCTCCCCAAACACCTGTGCACATGAATAACTTGGTTACACAAGTGATTCCCAAACTCTTCTCACTGATCTGAGCTCCAGGGCTACAACATCAGCTCCATTCAGGGTTCTGATCGCTCAGTTTTGATCCAAGATCAGACCCTTGACTCCTTCTGTGCAGTGTTATACATGCACACAAAGCCAGAACACAATTCTTTAGGCATAGTCTACAAATCACAGTAATACATACCACGAGCACAATCTGAGCAAAGAATGGATGGGAAGGAGTAGGGAAGCACTAGGAGGAACGAGGGGTAATAAACAGCCTGCGCCAAGGGCAGTGATTTAGCAGGTCCTCAAGATCGCAGCACACCTAGCTACAGTTTCTCAGGCTGGAAAACAAGGAACATCTTGAAACAAGGGACAATCCACATCAACAAAGACTAAGTCAGAGACTCCAGCCATTAAGAGATGATTTGGGGAAGAACAGAGAATGGGGTAGGAGCCTTAAGACATCCAGATAAAGACACAAAGGCCAGTGAATAAATTCTAACGACCCACAGACAGGATGCAGAGACACAAGATGACCACTCATAGCCCCTAAGGGATGTAAAAAAGCAGACCCAAAGCCATCACATGGTCACCAAGCTGTCCAAGAGACACCAGAGGTCTGATATTTGGCATTCCTTGTCTGCTGTCTCATCGCAAGGAATCCTGTCAAGACCATCTAGACACACATATCTTGGTGCTCAAATGCTGGACAACCACTTGGAGATCCCCATGTTGGTGCTTGTGAGCAGGTGGGTATAACTGCAAATAATTGAAATTAATTTGTTTTAAAATAAAGTTGCCTTCTCCCTCCTAAGGTCTCACGTCGTTGATTGCTCCCTTAACTCCCAGCAGTCAGCAAGGAGCTATGAGCTTCTTTCCCTTCAAATGGAAAAGTGCAGGTCTCCCAAGAGGCAGAGCAGCAGTGGGTGGCTTCCACCGAAGGATGCCATCTGCGCGGAGAACGACATCGCTGCCGGATGGGGGAAGATCCCACGCTCCGTGGAGTGTCCCATCCGTCATGCTCGTGTGGCTTGCTAGCTTAAAAAAGAACTAGAAAAAGAGCGAGTGAAGAACAGACACGCCCACATGTCTGCATTTTTAAGAGGAAAGCAACACTTTCTCCAGGAATTCATTGTAAATTAGTTTATGAGCTGCTCAGAGATTTTTACAGAACACCCCCAGCTCAACTGGTGTTGGTGACAAACCGCCCCACATCACCAAGAGAAGACCCTGGTCTCTGCAACCAATCTTTTCCATGGAATTTGTTCTCTGCTAATGCACCAAGGACAGTTATTTTACTGCTCAAAACAACAAATTAAAACCTGACGTATCAAACCCAACACCTGCCTCTACCAGTTCTTTTCATGGCAGGTTTCACACCAACACACCTCCTTCTCAGGGACCGCCAGCACGTCCACACTCGGCTCGGTCCAGCACGAGTCAAAGCAGGGATGCAGGGTTTTCTGTCCTACCCACCTGCATTAGGTGCTCTGAACCCCAAAGAGAGAACCAACACCTTTTCCCCCCCCAAAGCTGTTGTTACCAAATACTCATCTGCACATCCTACAGCCACAAGCAGAGCAGGAGAGCAGAGAGAGGCTGTTTGGAAGGAATCAGCGATTCGTTTTCCTTCCTTTTGGAAACATAGCAGCAGGAAATGGAAAAAAGAGGGCAACCCAGCAGAAAAGCCACCTCCTTCACATACCACCTCGCACTCGCTGGGACGTTGGCCGAGAACAGCTGGGTGACAAAAGCCTATTGCTCATCCCCTCCGATGGCTGCGATGCTTTGAATCCTGGACCACACATAAAGGTACTCGGACTGGCTGCACGTGAGTGTCGCGTGCTCCGACATTCGCTTCCCCATCAGAACGGAAAAATATTTCCTGCGCTGGGACTGCTGGTCCAAAGGAGGAGCCTCCTGCCAGTTCTCGCTGCTGAACACTGCCTGAGCCAGCAGCTGTTTGCACGGATTGGGAAGTGAGGAATGCGGGAGAGCTTCAGTAAGCCAAAATTACACGAGTCCCTGAGCTAAGGCAAACAAGAGAAAGAAAAGGCCTGAAGTTGCAGTTCCTTTCCCCTCTCTGTGAATTCAGCAGCACACAAATATTCAAAAGCTGAGAAATTCAATACCAGAGCTGCTGGTACAGTTTTCAGCCTACCCTCCTTGGGCTGCTGGGTGTCTTACACCCAGGCAGAAAGGGTTTGGGGTAGGCAGCTAGCAGAGCTGTATGGAGATGGCCGGCTGCAGCTTGGGACCCGTCACACCTCCCACTTTACCAGCATTGCGT